TGTAGATGTGATACTTAGGGACATGGTTTAGTGCTGGACCTTTCAGTGTTAGGTTAACAGTTGGACTCAATGATTTTAGAGGTCTTTTTCAACCCTAATTATTCTGTGAGTCTGATTCCCATGTAATAAATAGACATTACTTTGCAAGGACCATTCCCAGCCCACATTTCAGTGTGTAAAACCATCTGTGTCTGCTCTATCAACATTCACTGAAGGAATTATAAGAAGTAACAATGAGAGAAAAGTTTCCTATCTTTCCTTAGATGCAGAGATTATTCAGTAATATTTGTCTTAAGTAAGTTTACACACATTTGTGTGCTTTTTTTCCCAGCTGGAAAACCAGCCCAGAAGATTTCATCCCAAAAGCTGAAAATTGTATCAAATTGCTAACCTAAACTACGCCAAAATGCCACTTTATACCACTTTGTTATGCTAATTTACAACTACTATTCCCTTAGGCCTAGTAGAATGCTAAACTCTAGTCTCTTATCAGTCTTTCCCCAGAACAAGAGGTTCCTGTGATCCCTCATAGTAAGATATTATGCAGAAGTGATACTGTGAATTTTTTTTCAATTTTGCAACCCTGTGTCTTCAACTCTTGCTGTACTGTGTTTCAGAAGAGCAAGAGCAATCAGACTGACCTTACATGAAAGTTGTCTTTTCCTGAATTCTTGAACTTTGAAAAAATGTGTAGGGACACCAAGCATTCTATGAGGAGCTGCATACAGAGAGGAAAACTGCACCAGTCAGAAGCACACATCATGTTACGGATCAACTGTATATTTTGTATTAACATTTTAATAGCTCAATCTTGTGACAAAAATTGCAATGAAGGGAAAAGGGAGCAGACTAAATCTACCCAAGGCGTCATGTTCATGGAGAAAAGCAAACCCTGGTTTATCAATCACAACCCTACTGGCTCATCCATGTCACCCTTCCCTGAGGGACTTTTCCCATGCACGTCTGCTGGGCTCCTCTTTCCTTGCCTCTCTCTCAGGTGAGCATGTGCCCAGAGGGCTCCTGTCCCACTCACCATTTTGCTTCACTGGTACTAGCAGGAGCACTTTACACCTCTGAGATGAAGATAATTTGCTCCAGGTGGAAGGTGTTTCAACCATGCACAGCTCCCAGCCCCACTCTTAGCCCTCCACCCATCAACTGGTGTAAGGTAGAGGCAAAAAATGCTCCAAGTTCACCTTCTTGAAGGAATTTCTACCCCAGAAACACCCATTAGGTGTTTCTGATCTCCCTCTTTCCTCACCATGCACTTTAACGTACACATAATTGTATTTATGAAAAATTAATGAAAGTGTCTGTTTCAAGCAAGGAATGAGAGAGGGGACTGGGAGAGAAGGGCAGATGTGGAGAAAGACCCCAGTAGCCTCACCATCCAAGGGGGCAGAGGATGAGTGGTGACTTGAACATCTGTCATTCAGCAGCACGGTTTCCTCCTGAATCAGTGATTCATTGATGCTGTGTGGGAATATCACAGGACACATTTTGGAAGGGTTAGTGAACAAGTGTGAGCAGTTGCTTTGAAAGATTATCCTTTCCTGTTCAGAATTTTATACGTATTAGGATTTAACTCTATCTCATCACTGAACCTACTCTCTTTCAGTTTAAAGCCATTTCCCCTTGTCCTATTACTATAGGCCCTTGTCAAAAGTCTCTATCCAGCCCTCTTATAGCCACACTTTGGAATTGGAAGCTGCTGCAAAATCTCCCCAGAACCTTCCCTTCTGCAGGCTTAACAATCCCAGCTCTCTTTGTTTCCGTAGCAGAGGTGCTCCAGCCCTCAGAGCACCCTCATGGCCTCCTCTGGACTCGTTCCAAGAGCTCCATGTCCTTCTATGTTGAGGGACCCCAGAGCTGGACACAGTACTCCAGGTGGGATCTCACCAGAGCAGAATAGAGAGGCAGAATCAAATTGGACTCTTTGTTGTATTCGTGGGTTGGCAAACAGCATTTTATAGGAACTGTGGAAGGTGTGAGCCTGGCAGAGGATAAACCCAGTCAGAGTGTTCCACATTTAGTTCAATGGCTCCAGGTGTTGGGGGGCACAAAAGGCAGTGCTTCACCCCAAATACCTCTGGGGCTCCAGACGGGCACAGCTGCATGTGTAGTGGGGCACTGGGACCACCCCACCCTGCAGCCCAGGATGTAACATGAGACAAACATCATGTAATTGAAGTAACCTTGGGAATTTATCCCAATTTACTCACGTGAAGTGACTGGGCTGCCCTTGCGCTTGCTGCAATTCCCCGTAACAGTGAAGGATTTGCTGCACACCCCGGGGTTTGAGCTTCCTAATGGAAGAGTGACCCCAAGGCCAAACTGAGCTCAGCACCGTTGGTCTTAAATCTGTACACAACCCATCCAAGTGGCACAAGGAAGGGGAGTGGATCCCAGTGGTTGCCTGAACCCACAGGAAAGATCTGCATTGCTGAGGACTGGTGAAGACAGGATTGGAGTACTCTCCCTCATCTTTTTTGAGGTTTTTTCCATTTTTTTAGATTTGATGTCACCAGAGAAGATCACATGAATAATCTCAAAGTTTAACCAAAGCAGCCCTGTCTCCCTCACACACAGCTCTCTACCACTGCATTTAATTTTTACAGTTGTTTCTTCCCTAAAATGTCCAATAATGCAAACATTTATAGAAAGAAAAGGCTTTTCTTAAGAGACCAATCCTCCACAATTTCCTAGATTGGATTCTTTTCTTTCTCTCTCCTATTTCAGAGAAAGCTTCTTTCTTATCCCTGCTATTGCCAACCTCCTACTTACAAGTGAAGGAATCCAAAATAAACTCATTAGTTTCAGTGAAGATACTTTGGAATTATTTCCTTATAACTCCAAGTATAACTTTTCTCTGATTTCCTTAACCACTGTATGGATTCCTGTTATGCACTCAGATTTCAGCCTGTGTCCAGCACTCTTAGTAACCCAATTAATATCACAAAAACTCAGTTATATTAGAACTTAAAGCAGAAACAGAGGCATTGCACTGTCTTGTCTCAGTCAATAGTCGGTATTCACCTGGAAGAAGGTGTATGGTTTTTCTTTCTTTCTTTTTTTTAATTTAAAAAGAGGCATTTATGAATTCATTAAAAAACCCAAGCCAAACAAACAAAAAAAAAATCCAACAAGAAACAAGATTTTCTATAACTGCCTTAAATTTAAGCTTTATTTCCTGACTCATGGCAGTGTGACATGGGGAGGTGCAGACAACTGGATCAGGCTGATGTCAAGATAGTGGAAGAAATATCATCTTTTGGAGGTGTAAATTCTGCATTTCTGTATCCTCATTTCAAAAGCATATCTAGCGAATGGAAATAATTTCCATAATATTCATATCCTCAGCCAAGAGGATTTTAATTAAAGGATTTAATTTGTTGATTTTACCTTTATCATGAAAAGATATTTAAAAAAACCCCAAGGGTAACAATTCACATGACCATTCAATCCAATATATTAAATTGATACCATCCTAAAATTTCCTGTAAGAAAAGTCAGACATTCATTCCTGTGCTGGCACAGGGCTCTGAAACCCTCATCTAGTTCTCTTGTGTAAAATATTAGGTACTGAAATTTGTCTCACTTTTTATTTATGAGCACAATGCACTGCAAAGCACACAGGATACCAACAACAGCTGCATTTCAGCCACATGTGATCCCTATGGAAATCGGGATTGCTTAGAAGGACGTGTACCAACACACAAAGAGGATTTTTTTTCTTCCTAACTACCCGCCCGCATGCGGGAAGGCAGGGTGTGTATATCAGTATATCTCTGAAGTTTGGAGGAGAGGTAATACCCAGGATTAAAACTGTTACAGGCATGTTATTTCTTGCCATACAACATGGAAATATCAAAGTTCACACCCTGTTATTTTGGAAGATCAAACCAAGCATAGATGGCAGAACCTGTCTAGCTAAAAAGAGCACCAGTTTGGGACTCACACTCACTATGCTGAAACATTTGAATTGCTTTTTTCCCCCAAGTTTTAATTCTTCCAAATTTAGCCTAGCCCATGCCCTAAAAAATCAGAAATTGCAAGGATACTGTGCCATGGTGAGGATAAGGAAGATGGAAAAACCCTTCTGAATTAGTGTTTGGGGATATGTCCCCAAAGATCCATTGCTCATCTCCAGATGCTCCATTTCCAGCCCTGCTTCTTCCAAATCCCACCCAAAGCCTGGGAAGTGCTGAGCATCATTTCTACATTGCACTGTGCAACCTTTCACCAGTCTCAGAGAGTTTTATTTCCTCCTGGAAGCTCTTCTTCCCCCAGGAAGTCCTTTGTCTAAGAACAGGAATAACTACTGGAGAGCAGGGAGCAAGAGTGTCTGATCAATGGTCTCTTGCCTCAAAATCTGTAAGCTTACATCATTGGATCCTTGGTCCAATAAAAGGTCCTCCCCAAAAGACTGTGGAGCCTGACCTGAACTCCACAGTATGTCCCTGGAGACACTGTTAGTCCTCTTGTTTTGTATTCCTCATGACAGCACATGTGATGAACAGCTAAATGCTTGGTGAGGTAGCTTTGGCTGGTTCATCCATCACCTATGTCCATTCTCCACCTGTGTGGAGAACCTATGTCCGTTCCCCCTAACAGCTTGAGGGGGAAGGTGAGCTTTAGTCTGTAACACATGACTGTGCAGAGAAATCCGTATCCACTGATGTGCTGGATGTGGTGGAAACTCTCTGAAGCTCTCCTGAAGCACAGTCTCCCCACCCTGTTGTGACATCTCTCTCAAATATATAAGAGTTTAGGCTGAGTGGGACATCCAAATGTGAACACTTGTACTGATCCCTGTTGGAAACTATATTACTGTCCCAGCCTGCTCTCATGATCTTGCATGCTTTGCAGGAACACTATCTCCTGCAACCAGAACCCCATCTGCCAGACGAGGCACCCCAATGGGGGTGAAGCTGTGGGATGGAGTTGCTCTGACATGTCCAATCCTCCCAGGAAATGAAGAGACACCTTAAAACAGTTTGTTTGTTTGTTTGTTTGTTTGTTTATTTTAGTCTACAATATCTGTAGGGTTCTCCTCTTTCCCTTCCCAACCTACTGAAACTTCGTTGTCAGGGCAGGTCAGGCCCCCTTTGGCTTCATCAGTGTAGCTGCTCACTGGTGCTTCTTCTTGTCCCCCACAGAGATGGATGTCTTTGAGGTACTGGATAAACTGCTTTATCTAGAGTGGGAAAGAGAGATGGCAGAGCTCAGTTCAGGAATGGGAATAGGAAGCAGAGAGAGATTCGTTGGCCCCAAATGTCACCGATCAAACTGAACAGGGAGATAAGCATTTGCCTTGCTGGATCTGCACCACCAGAATGGAGTTTCGTAGGCAAGTCTGAGTTCAGACTATGGGTGAATGAAACCCAACCTTGGCTGTGGCTTGATCTGCATGTCCTGCATCTCCTGCCCCAGCCTGCCTGGCTCCCACTCCTTTCGCCAGGCAAGGACCCACACCTTGCTCTGCCTCCTCAGAAGAGACAGGTTTGCCTGGTATCCCCTGCCCATTCCCCATGCCCGAGAGAGAAAGGAACATGTCTGTTGGGCCGGTGGGCTCTCTCCTCCTTTGAGCAGCTGAGAAACACTGCTGCTCCTCTTTCTGGGCAGGGAATGGGGCTCTGGTTTGGCTTTACCATGTCCAGTTGTTTGAGGCTGTCATCCACCGACACTTTACAGTCCGCATTCAGCCGCATGTTGGTGGACTGGAAAAGGTCATGGATGGCCAGTTTGATGCTCCAAAGCTTCTTGGTTTTCTTGGAAGTCCTGTTCTGGATGTCAGTCCAGCAAGTCTCCTAGAAGGAGAGGAGATACGCAGCATGGGGATGTGCCCCAGCAAAGATGCTTCTTCAGCACTGAACACCTGGGTTGGAGACCCTAACTTCCACACTCATCTGCCTGGCTAGGAAAAACCCGTCCTTGTCAGGCTGTGCTGGAGGTGGTTCAGCAAATCTGGGAACCACTACAGCTGCTCCTTGCTCCTGGAACCTCCCCATCTCTTTTCCACTCCTGCAGTCCTCATTCTGGTTCCCCTCAGGCCCTATTTGTGCTACCCTCAGCAGGGTTGCTGATATCCTGGCAGCAACACATGCCACTGCCACCCTCCTAGACCAGGTGCTTTCCAGCTTTGCCTGATGGCAAACTGGCTCCAGACCTGGTCCGTCATTCTTCCCTCTGCAACCCCACGGAGGGGTGAAATGGTGAACCTCCTCCCATCACAAAGACTGCTACTGGGCCCTGCCATGACCCCATGGCTGAAGGATGAGCCATCAGCTGATCTTGAAAGAGACAGGCCTTGGAGATCGTCCCCTGCCTGCCCCACAGTTCCTTACCCAGAGGCGGATGTCGGTCTGAGCCTGGTCAAAACGTAGTTTAAGCTGTGCCAGCTTGCTTTTGTACTGAAGCATCTCAGCTTCTTTCTCTGCCCTGTACTGTTCCAGGAGCACCTTGTCTTGCTCAGTCAGTTCCTTGTGCCCCTGCTGTGACTGCAGAAGGTCCTTGTGTGTCCTCACCAGCAACGCGTACCGTGAAGCGACTTCCACGATGTCCTCAAACTACAGCACAGGATTCCTGGTGTTAGTAACCTTACGCCCTCCCCTCACGAGCTGCAGGCCTTGTTTCATTTGGCACCCTGCCCTTACCAGGGCCAACACCTCCCCCAGATGAAAGATCTTCCCTTCTTCCCCAACTCTAACTATTCTGTGATCCTGTGATTCTCAATGAGACTTCCTTTCCTGCTCCAGTTCTCCTGCCCTAACTCTCCTCCCTGCGGCTCACCTTGGTTGCAGGGAACCTCTTCCCATTCCATCTGAGGTCTCAAGCATCCAGTGGGTTTGCCTTATCTCTTTTAGTTTCAACACCTACGTAAGGCCCTTCCCAAGACCATGATCTGTCTCTCTCACATCCAAACTCACCTGTGAGATCTTTACCACATCCTCCAGGTATTTCTTGAAGACAGAGTACTTCTGTACTTTTTTGCAGAGTTTCAGGTGCTCTTTTCTGAGGGCTTCCAATTTCATCTTAGCTTTCAAAAGCTCACTCTCCTTTTGCATATTCTCCTCTCTCTCTTTGCTGTCTATCTTCAGAGCCAGGATTCGTACCTCTTCATTTTCCTGGTGGTTTCCCCCACCAACACACATGCATGCACATAAACAGAGAGGGAAAGGAAGGCAAGGAAAGATGGGGCTGGGTCACTTAACAGCACTGGAAGGGCATGCTTTCAGAGGGTAGAGTCTAGTACTGAAGCACCCCAGGAATATTTTCCCTCCCCATTTTACAGGGCGATCCCTCTTGCGTTGACCCTTTGGTCTTGGAGACAGGTGGCTGGGATGACATTCTGATTTTCAGACCTACTTGTTTCTGTCCCTGGAAGACAGTTGGTTGCCAACAGTAGTTGCAAGGCTGAGACCCTTCCTAGGGGACATTTGGTGCCCTCAGTAGATCCCACTAGTACAGGACAAGCTCTCTCTCACTCAAGCTCTAGTAAGACTTTTCTGTGTATGTGGTACAAAACCTCGTGCCATGCAGTTCCTCTTCCTTACACCTCCAGGTTCAAGGGAGACTTGAACAGGAGTACTGGCCCAAGACTCTCTTCCCCAAGGGTGGGGAGAAGTGGGTGGTGTGGCTCAAGGTCATGTCATCTGGCATACCTTTATAATTTTCCCAGACTTCTGCACGTGGTCTTTCAGCTGAGCCCTCTTGGCGTGCAGGGCCCTCCACCGCTCGACGATGACTTTCATCCTCTGCCTGAAGGCCTGAAGCAACAGAGTGAGGGTGGCATGGCTGCCCTCACCCAGAACCAGTCATCTGCCTGCTGGTGCCCCGCTCCAAAAAACCACAAGCCCTCCCAACCATGCCACAACACCCTCCCATCTTTCTCACCTCATCTTTCTCTGCCAGAGTCTTTTCCATCAGTCGGACTTCCATCTTAGTCTTCAGAAGGTGGATAAATGAAGATGGGGATTCCTCCTCTCTCACTCCGAGTTCCCTGCCACAGAAGTTTTCCTCAAGGTTACATGCTGGGTCCAGTTCCTTGGCAGAGTGTTGGATTGTTCTGGGTGTTGGACGGTGTCCCAGGTGGGGCAATTGGGCAGAGCAACCCAACACAATCTCTTACCCCACCTGGCAGCATGGCATCCCCACCCCTCCCCAGTGTTACAGGGAGGAACAGGGCTGGGGAAGGCAGGTACAAGAGCAGATAGAAGTGATGGAGATAAAGGATGGGAGTTTGCCATGGCAGGGGAAAGACGGATGGAGAAGACAGGAGAAGAGAATGGAGGCTGGTGGAAGAGGCCCCTCACCTGAACAAATGTGGGAGTTCCACCCTGTAGAGGTTGAGGAAATAGCCTGACATCTTCCCATGGCTCCAGATATCCATGATTGCAGCCACCAGCAGGAAACAGAGATCCCAGGCCCTGCTGGCAATGCCCCTCTCCCAGGTCAGCCCAGGAGCTGCCCTGCAAGCCTGAGGGCCCAGAGGTGTGTGGGAAGCACCAGGCAGGGGATGAGCCCCTCTGCTTTCCTGGGGCCTTCCTTGACCTGTGGCCTTTGAAGCTCTTTGGTCCTGCGGCTACTCCAACCCCTGTGCCAGGCCCTGTGGCTACTCAAGCCCTGCAGACCGGCCCTATGGCTACTCCAACCACCGTAACAGTCCCTGTGGCTACTCTAACGACCATAACAGCCCCTGGCAACTGAATGGTTGCTTGGCAATGGAATTTTTGCTTGGAATTAGGGGGACTGACCACTCTGTCCAGAACCAAGAATTTTTTCATTCCCTTTCTCTCATTTCCTCTTATTCTTCCTCTGCTAAAATTTGGCCCCCCGTGCCCAGTGACCTCTGCTGCCTTGGGTGGGTATTTCAGTGCCACATCCTGACAGCCACATCCCACTGTCCCAGCGCTCAGGGCAGGGGGCTTTCTCCTCTCCCTCAAGCCCCAGATGGAAACACTGTTAACCAGGCACATCCTCAGGGATGTGTGATCACTGTACTGCCATGGTGAAGTAGTACCCTTCCCTCACAGCTCTGCTCATTGAGACCACCTGCTCAATGCTTTCTCTCTCCTAAGCAAAAACATCGTTTTCCAGCCCCTAAGCCCATCATCCAGTGGGCCATGAAGCTCCTGTGCATGGCTCTAAAAAGAGTGGCTGCTCACTTCATAACAGCAACAGATTGCTCTTGCTGGAGAGTGCAGGGGATAATGCTCCTGGCTGCTCCCTAATGGGTTATTTAAATCCTCCTAATCAAGGAGTGGCAAACCATCACTCCCTGAGAGTGGTTTTCAATTTCCTATTTTTCTTCTGACCCTTCCCAAAGCCCAGATCTTCCTGCAGGAGGGTGCCCAACCGTCAGGCACCAGGCACACCAATGCAGCCAAATTAAACAGATTTAATGGCTCTTGCAGCAAAAGCTCCAGGTCCACATGCATGAGCTCTGCTCCTGGAGTTTGAGGAAGAGAAAGTTTCTTCTGCTCAAAAGGAATTTTTTTCCTGTCAGTTATGATAAAAGCGCAAACTGGAGATGATCTACAGAGAACGGGCTGAACAGTTCAAGGGTTGACAGTGAGATTAGAGAAGTTGCTATAGCTGGGGAGAACATGGGAGGAACCATCTGTCCTGCAAACTCTTCTTGATGGCTTTTCTCTCCCCTGTCCCAGTGCCATATATGTGTCTCTACCGGTAAAGATTCACTCCAGCAGCAGGAAAAGATGGGTTTGAGGAGAGAAGCCGTAGGAACAACTGTGGACATCATCTGGACTCCAACACTCCCAGTTAGAAGTGCAGTTTCTAACCTCTTTTTGGTTTATTGGCTAGATTTGCCCTGGGGCTGGGGAGACTGACAGAGGAAAATTAAGTCTTGGAAGTCTTCAGAAGCTTCTTAGCATGGACATGCTAAGGAAAATAGACCAGCATGCTACAAAGGACAAGCTGTTGCTCCAGCCACGGTGTGGTCTACTGGTTGGACTGGTGGCTTCAAAAAATTTTGACCAGTGTCATTTTGACCATTTTAATTTAAAAGTCTATGAATCTTCTCTTTCCCCTCCAAAACACCAGTTTTGCCTATCAAACTCTTACAAGCAATTAGCAAAATGAAGAGGCATTGAAGAGACGCGGGACATGACAGCTGCTGGTGTGGAGCCCATGCTGTGCTGTGGTCACAGAGGCCACTGGAAGAGGCTGGCCCATGCCACCACTGATTTTTCAAACTTCCAAAAACCATTAGCTTATTAGGCTGCTGATCTCATCCATCTCCAGCTACCAGATCCACACACTTTCCCCTGTGCTGAAGAAACTGCCCTGGGCAGCATCCCAGGCCACCTTTAAAGGACGCTTTGCAATTTAAGAAATAAAACAAAACAGTACTTTTCAGAAGCAAGCAAGCAGCGTCCTACAAGGTGCCCACAGAGCCTCAGCCTTACTATTTTATTGCCTTCCTAATAATTTTGTTTGCTCTGGACAAATAAAAGCTCCCCTGACAAGTGGAAAGGTGCCTGGATGGAGCAAGAGGGTTGGACCAGAGGCCAGTTGGCCCCTGCAAGTCCTCATTCTCTTTTCCAGGCTCTCCAGCATCTCGCTGAGAAACTTTCCCAACTGGGGCATGGTCTGCTTTGCTGGGGTCTGCAAGAGAAGCTGTTCACTTGCAGGTGAGGCACGTCAGGAAAACTGCCAGGCAAGGCATTAAGCAATGAACTAGAAGCAAACTAGAGCACAAAGTGCTCACCAGCTGCAGCAGGAGCAGTGTCAAGGAGCCACCTAATATCCTATGTCTGCTACGTCTTGCAGAAACACTAACTCCTCCTCTGTCTTCCTCTGCCCACATCTTACCCCTCCATGGGGCTCTGGCTTGGTTTTGGAAATCTGAGAGGTAGGATTATCACCTTGGTTTGCTCTGGTGTGGTATCAAAGGGCTCTGGGAGTATTAGGGTACAAACAGTGGTCAGTTCCCCTTGCCTTGACCCAATGTGTGGCTGGCAGGCAGCGTGACAACACACTGCCTGGACCAGTGCTCACTATCACAGCCTCTTCTTGTAGCCAAAATCTCAGCACGGGCAGAGGCAGTGGATGGAAATCAAAGTCATGTGTTTCAGACACAGGGTCAAACAGCCTGTGTGCACCACTCTGCGGAGGAACAGGCATGGGGACAGACTGAGTGGCCACAAATCTGCTTTACCCCCAAGATCTTTTTCCCCTGGGATCTCCAAGGAGCACCAGCCTGAAATGAGGCAACTCAGGGGCTGCTCTAGTTTGGGTTCAGTGCTAAAGAGCAGGTCAAGCCAGATTCAGTTGCTTCTACTGTCTCCTCTCCACACCTTTGTTGGGAGACACATAGAGGCACAGAGCAGAGTGGAGCTGATGGAGGTAGAGACTTGATGTTGACTCTGCTTGGAGATGGAAGTCAGACTGAAAAATTCCGGAGGGCCCTGTCAGCAGGTCTGCTGAACCATTAACTGACCCTATAGGCTCCCCGTGAGCCTTCCTCCCCATACTGTGACCCTCCACAGAAAAAGCCCACCCAGGTGAGGACAAGGGCACTTGGCAGCCCTTTTCCCCACAGCCTGGGTACATAAGGCAGAGCTTTCATCTCAACCCCTGGTACTTTGAAAGCCTCATGAATTTTTATCAAACACTAATGGTTTAACTCCTGCTCACATATGTAGAAACCTTGCCGTGAGACTGAGCTTTTTTGGGGGGTTGTTTTGTTTCTTTTTAACTTTATAACAACTTTAATTTTACAAGTTCATAGATAAACTCTTCTTCCTTGCTCTGCCCCACATCTCCTGTCTAGGTGTGGCTATAAGTAAATGAGACCATTGAATGAAAACTAACTTTTTTCTTCTTTTTTTTTTTCTTTAAGAATCACTCATGTCTCCTCACAGCCTCAAATATTTCATGCAGGTTGTGCCATGTATTTCTTAAGCTAAGCCAAGCAAAACACTGCCTTCCATATACACGGCAAAAAAATGTTTTTCAGGCTCAAAGCATTTCTGTCTTTGGCAGAATCTTTTCTCAAAGCATACCGAAGGAAAAGTATGGAAATTAAATACAAAGAGTGGTTAAAATAATATTTTGGGTAGAGATGAGCCCAAACCCCAGATTACAAAGCCAGATACCCCCTTAGATACCAGGCCTAACATGAGGAGGTTTGTTGTGATACTTGGAGAACAACTGGGAAGCACTGCAGGTCTCCCACCAAGTTTAATTTCTTAATTGAACTTATAAAAGATTTAACCCCTACCAGTCCTCAAAGCTAACTCAGATCCTATTATATTTATATCATAGATTATGTTTACCCAAACTGGCCCTGGGTGGATTAGATATGGGGTGGGCAGGCTGTGGAGGGGCAGATGGGGGTCCAGCATGGCAGAGAGGATCCACAAGGCAAAGGGGCTGTGCTGAACCTGGGCAGTGGACCCAAAACTTTCCTGGGTTTCGGTGTGGTTATATCTGCTATTTGGATCCATCCCATCACTGATGTGGGCACAAACTGTGGTGTAATTTGGGGTTTCAGACCCAGCATTTAAGACTGGATCCGAAACTCAGATAGAAGAAATTTGGGAAAGAGGCTTTTAAGAGTCTAATTTGAAACAGAAAACCCATGAAACTATTTTTGCCCTTGGTCTTTATTGAACTTTTTTTTTAATCTTCTAGTATGCCTGGGCTCTTCAGGCATCCAACAGCAATGTCTCAGTGTTAAATAGGATACTTTATGCTGTAGGAATGATGAATGACTGACAAACTCAGCTCTGTGTGAACCTAGTGTTCTGGAAAGGTGAACAAACAGCGTGTTACAGCTCCATAAGTGCACTCAGCAGCCATAAGGAAAGCTGACTTTAAGGAAAGACTATCTTAACAGAAGATTTCAAGACTATAATTGCACCTACGAGTTCTTAAATACTCTCAGACACTGATAACCCAAGTCTTAGACTCAGAGGCATCTTTACTTTTTGTACCCCAGCAGAGAGTCCATATGTTTGACTATAAATTAAGACAGTTTAATAAAGTGTATTTTACTTTCTAGTTTAATATTTTTTATAAACCCTGAAATAGCCTTAAAAATATTTGTCCTAGTACTTGACAGGATTTGCATTTGTTTTTCCATCAACTTAGTGGTTGTAACACAGGTCTCAAAATAGAGAGAGAGGGAGAGTGTTCTGTTGCTCCAGAAGCTGAGGGTATACCCAGCATGTCAGCCTGTGCCAGCCCTGGTGTAGGAAGCACCTACCATCACGAGCTGAAACCAATCCAGCTCCCTGCCAGATAAGGATGGACATGCCCTGGGCTTTGGCCATGCTCTGCTCCATCCTGTACTGCACAAGAACTGCTCCCATTCGGTACCCACAGCACAAGCAGGTGCCCAGCTGAATCCTCCCCCATCTTCAATAAGCCAGTTAGTCACACCTCTGTTCCTCCACCCTTAAAACAAGGACAAGACTCAGATAAGGTGCTGGATCTTTGGTGAAGCACCTGCTACTAGGCAAAACAAAACCTGGCAGGCATGAAGGGTTTACAGTGCAGGAGAAACAACTCATTAAAAATCCTTTTTTTCATGAGAGGTATCATGTGTTTTTAATGTTTCATTTTGTAAAATCCTTGCCCATCACAGCTTGACAATTGCTGGTTTGCAGGGGTCATGTCCCACCTTTAATGCATCCAGAACAAGCCCAGCTCT